AGAGAGAGAGAGAGAGAGAGAGAAAGAGAGAAAGAGAGACAGATCAAGAAAGACTCAAAAGAGAGAACTGGAGAAATGGAGGTAATTATTTTTAGAAATCGACCAGTGCGTTAATAAAAAAAAGGGGGGGAGTGGTTGACACTACGATTAACTGATTTCACTTTTCTGCAGAAACGTAAATGTAGGCCTTTCCTACTCATTATTGCTAGAATCCACGTCGTATAATAATATTCGAACACATTAGCCTAGTTGCCGGCACTGTCCAGATGTTTATTTCTCTTTTGTAAAAACACTTTTTGGTCAAGCAAGTAGTTTGGAATTTTATTAGCGCTTAACGTTCAAACAAGAGCCATGGTTCTTTGCTTGCAATATTCAGACGACGAAGAACCCTTTCAACCCTTAAAATACTACTCGCCTCTCCCCGAGACAATGACCTACTTTTTTCTTTCAACTTTTACGGCAGTCATTATTTCTATTGATTTTGGTGCAACTAAACTACGTTTTCATTTTCGCATTTTTTCAAAATTTTACGAAACGTACACCCCCCTTGGTGTAATCTATGCTCATACATGAACTTTGAACTTTGAAGAAGCACAGAAAGCGTTTGCCAGTGCTTCCAGTCTAGTAACGTTTTAAAAAATTGATGTAAATTATAAATTTTGGTTTTCTTGATGACCTACACTTCTTTGAACAAGCGTATGGTACCTTGTTGTTGCTGCTTTCTTTCTTTCTTTTTTGTTCGGTTATTTTTTGGCAATTGTTCTTTCTTTGATTGAAAAAAAAAAGATTTATGATTTTGGTTTGTTTTTGTATATTAACCTCAGAGCAGGTTCTACTTCCACACAGTCTCCGTTTTAATCAAATCCAACATGATAATTAGAACTCATGAAACATTCCGAGGAGAGAAACAGCTCACAGTTTAAGCAGGCTTGACAAAGACTAGCGAGCAATTCGCCAAATCATCTTAGTCAGTGTCCGCCCCACCCAACTTTATCCCGTAATGACATGTAATGAGGGGTGATTTACCCTTTCCCTGGTCTCGGTTTGACTAGCAGCAAGCCCACTCTGCTGGGAGACCGGTGCTTGATTAGCTTGGCTTACACGCGCGGAACGTTATGGTTCAAATCACAAGTGAAATCCTTTTTTTTTCTATTATTGCTATAAGAATAGTAAAGATAAAATAATGGCGATAATAATAATGAAAATGGCAATATGAATTATAATAATGATAACAATACTGATTTAACTTATAGCAAGAAGAAGAAGAAGAAGAAGAAGGAGAAGAAGAAGAAGAAGAAGAAGGAGGAGGAGGAGGAGGAGGAGGAGGAGGAGGAGGAAGAGGAGGAGGAGGAGGAGGAGGAGGAGGAGGAGAAGAAGAAGAAGGAGAAGAAGAAGAAGAAGAAGAAGAAGAAGAAGAAGAAGAAGAAGAAGAAGAAGAAGAAGAAGAAGAAGAAGAAGAAGAAGAAGAAGAAGAAGAAGAAGAAGAAGAAGAAGAAGAGTAGCAGTAGTAGTAGTAGTTGTAGTAGTAGTAGTAGTAGTAGTAGTAGTAGTAGTAGTAGTAGTAGTAGTAGTAGTAGTAGTAGTAGTAGTAGTAGTAATAGTAGTAGTAGTAGTAGTAGTAGTAGTAGTAGTAGTAGTAGTAGTAGTAGTAGTAGTAGTAGTAGTAGCAGCAGCAGCAGCAGTAGTAGTAGTAGTAGTAGTAGTAGTAGTAGTAGTAGTAGTAGTAGTAGTAGTAGTAGTAATAGTAGTAGTAGTAGTAGTAGTAGTAGTTGTAGTAGTAGTAGTAGTAGTAGTAGTAGTAGTAGTAGTAGTAGTAGTAGTAGTAGTAGTAGTAGTAGTAGTAGTAGTAGTAGTAGTAGTAGTTGTTGTAGTTGTTGTTGTTGTTGTTGTGGTTGTTGTTGTTGTTGTTGTTGTTGTTGTTGTTGTTGTTGTTGTTGTTGTTGTTGTTGAGGTAGTAGTATGGCACATTTCCAAGTAATACAGTATGTTCTATGATCAATACAACTATTATCACCCAAACAGAACATAGTATACTCAAAAACATTCTCATTTCCCCGAGAAGCATATAGTACAAGCTAAAGATTCCACGATCTAAAACACTAATAAACAAACACGATCTTTCGCTGTCTATAGCCAGGTACTCCTTCCCACCATGGTGAAGTGAAGAACATATTATTATCGTTGTGTGTCAAGTGCCTTTCTCAAAGACTTAATATCGGGCCACTAATGAGTTTTGAACTCTTGACCTTATGATTGCTTTGAGATCCTAACCATAATAAGACTACCCTTGGGTGTTTCTTTGAGGTAATAATAATAATAATAATAATAATAATAATAATAATAATAATAATAATAATAATAATAATAATAATAATATAATGATAATATAATAATAATAATAATAATAAAAATAATAATAAAAATAATAATAATTTGTATAGCGCATATCCCCGTTAGACAGCAAGCTCTATCCGCTTTACACTACATGATTAATTGGCAGCTATACAAATGCTATCTATCTATTATTATTATTATTATTATTATTATTATTATTATTATTATTATTAGCTGTTTACAGGCCGTGACATTTCATTGTGCATAGTTTGTGCACCATATTATGTGCACCGTATCCCAGTGAAATACAGGAATAGTAAACAGTGTTCTTCCAGGGCCTTTTATACGGACATTGTTTGAGAGGTATTCACTAAATAATGTATTTTCTAAAATGTTCTTGGTTCATGACTCTTAAGCCTGTTGTTCTATTGTTAGGGCTTTCGCCTCTCAAGGAAAATGATAATGTTCGATTCACACAAAGCTAAACTGTATAGCCATTGCTTTCTTGGATTTTTTTCTGAATTATAGTATCGAACATTGTGCGGTCGTTTAATGCAACCTAGGCAAAGCAACCCCAAATTACAATTTCGGAAGCGAAAACATATAAAATCAAATCAGATATCTGATGAACTGTATATAAAAATATTTTATCCACAGCAGGATGTGCTTCACTTTTGAAAAAAAAATTCTCTGTGCGTGCCAGGAATAAGAGTTGATGAATTGGAAACACATTTTAATAAAAAGAATCCACACGCCAAGCAGGTATAGAATTAACAAGCCAAATTCTTAAACATCAAAACAAATATTTCATAAAAAGAAAGAACGAATCTTATAACAAGCTAAACCAAAGTTGTTATGACAGTGGGAAAATATAGGAACAAGCTCAATGAAACAGTACTATTTTCTTTTAGTAATGTTCTTATTTTTATTTTAAAAAGGCTTATTTTTTTCTAGGGTCGTAAAAAGCAAAGTACTTCTGGTCTGTAATGTTAATTTACCATTAGTGACATTGTGATAAGTCATACTCAGAAAGTCGAGCAAACTCAACACGTTTTAGAAATGTCAGCATAACAATACATTTACACTCAAGGAAGTTTTTTTCTTCTTTTTTTTTTTTCTTTGAAGAGGCAGTAATGTTTTAAAGGGAAAAGTCGAGTGCCACTTTTTTCTGCCAATATCATCTGGTTTCTTCCGGGTTCAGGACATAGCTCAGAAATCAGCGGGGAGAGGAAAATTAAAAGAATTAATGATGTTCTTTAATTCAAGTTTATCAAGTTCAAAGACAAACATAATGCTCTAAACAAGAAGGAGTTCACCGAAGACAAAGTACGCTGTGAAAAGGAATTATGATTTACGAGTGGTACGCCTTATAGAGGTAGAGTTAAGCCTTCTGTTGTCGGCTGATCAGCGGCCTACCGCATAGAATACTCGCCTATATTACTAGCGACTTTCCCTCAAAATTAGGTTCCGATGTTTAACAGCACCTCTTCTCCCCCTCCCCCGTCAAAAAAATATAGACAAGAAACAACTCGATTTTTTTTTTCAGCAAAGGAGGACCCCCCCCCCCCACCAAAAAACCCCACCAAAAAACAAAACAAAAAACCAAAACAAAACAAAAACAACAAACAACCCCCCCCCCCTCAAAAACCAAAAGAACAAACAAAGAAAAAACTTCAAAAACAAACCAAAAAAACATTTCAAAAACAAAAACAAAAGCAAAAACCACAAAAAAACAAATTTAAAAAAACACGTACTACATGCTTGATACACAGCCAGAATCTCAGAACCGACTAACAAAGGGGAAGTAATGGCGAATGGGATTTCCCATTGTACAATTACCCTCCAACCACCAACTCATCTGTTCAAACATAAAATGCATTCAGAGCTCATAGATTAAATCGATCAATATGCAACAACCGACAGTTCTTAAAAGTAAGACACTATTATTTGGTGCAGACTAGTAATTGAAAAGAGAGGGTTAGGGAAGAGAGAGGGTTGGGGGGGTGGGAGGGGGGGCGTACGTATAGGCAGACGGGCGTACCGACGGAGATACAATGTACATAGAGAAAGAGGGATGAAAAAAGAAAGCTTTCGAACTTGTTTGTTAGAATAAGCCCATGCTGAGAGAGATACAACATCCCAGCAGAAAGACTGAGATATAAAATAATTTATAATACAAATGTCTCTCTACTAGGGAATAAAACGCAGGCCTCCTGCATGTTACCTGACAATGATTGGGATAGAAGTTGTGGGAGTAGCATAATGTAGGAATTCAGACATAAAAGGAAAGAAAATGTTAAGAGAAAACAGGCAGCTTTACACACACACAAACACACACACACATACATACACACACACAAAACACACTCATAAACACACACAGACACATACACACACCCTCTCTCGCTCTCTTTCTTTCTCTGTCTCTTTCTCCTTCTCTCTCTTTCTCTCCCTCTCTCTCTCCCTCTCTCTCTTTCTCTCTCTCTCTCTCTGTCCCTGTCTCTGTCTCTCTCTGTCTCTCTCTCTCTCTCTCTCTCTCTCTCTCTCTCTCTTTCTCTCTCTGTGTGTTTCTCTATGTATTCATTCTACTGTCGTCAGTGGGGTAATGATACAGGTCTTTGTAATAGTACACATAAAACATTCGTTCGATTTCCAATTGGGCAAGTAGTTATTGCACATTATCGGGTAGTTCCCTCTGTTTGAGTTCTGGTTGTATCCCATTAAACCCTAGTTGGCCATGATCTTAATTGTTACACGGGGAGGGGGAGGGGGGGGGGGGGGCTACAAAATATAACAATAAAAGAATATATGAAACTGATGGCAAGCATAATATTATGATAAGTGAGGTTGATTGGCGAGAACTCTGATGTTCTCTGCTCCTTCTATCCCATCAAACATCTATCGTCCATAGCTCTCCTCTTTCTTTTCTCTGTAGGTTACCGTTGAGTAGCACATCTAATTTCAGTACCTGAAATGTGACCTTTTTCTGTTTAAGGTCCGTAAAACGCTCACTAAAACTTCAGCTAGGGATAATATTGCGGCAAGCGTCTTTTTGTTTTTCATTAAAATGTCCCTATTCTTCTTATCCCAGAACACGGCAGAAACATGGAGACCTCGAGTAACAGTAAAGTACTCACCCGTCACAGAGGAGCGGCTCTGACTTCCGTCCTCGCTGGGACCACGCCCACTGTCTGCCCCGCTTGTTTCCCTTGAGGAGCTGCTCAGAATCTCGTCTGCCATCTTGTCCTTGAGCGCGGAGCGCCATACCTGATGGTTGTCATGATAGCAAGCATGCATTCAGTCAGTCAATCTAGCAAGCATACATGCATTCAGTGACTTAAGTAAGTAAAGTAAGGAAGAATGCATTTAGTCAACCAATCAATCAAACAAGAACTCATTCAATCAATCAATCAATCAAGCAAGAAAGAAGGCATAACATCAGTAAAGAAAGCAAGCAAGCAAGCATTCCGTTTGTTGATCAGGCAATCTAGCATATTGAACAATCCGCAAACTGGTCAGCAGAAAGAAAGACCTGTTCGGTCTCTTCAAACTGCTGAGCAATAACTGATTGATGGAGGGAAGGAATTTCATTCATTCATTCATTCATTCATTCAGGAATCATACGACCTTGATTTCGTGAGCAAAGTCATTTGCCAGATTCAAGAATCACACTGCTTTTATTTGATTGGTGGTGAATTTATTTGCCAAATTAAAGCACACCACAAATTAAACTTCATCTTTTTTTTCTGCTATTTATTCATCTTGCTGGCATTTGGTAGTAAGGCAAGTGCACTTCGTGTGAAGGCGGTGTTGGTCGAATTGGCGTCCGTGAAAGACATTGAGTGCATTAGTGAGGAAAATCTAAGTGATGAGGTTAGTGCTGTGAAGAGGGCGATGTTAGCTTTGTGAGGCGTCCGAAGAAGAGGCTGCCGGGCGAGGCGGAAAGGGATGATGGTGGTGGTGGTGGTGGTGATTGCTCTGAAAGAGAGAAGAGACAAAAGAAAGATGTCGGCGACTTCGCTGGCAAGCATGTGCGTGAATCGCCCTTCACTATGCCGCTATGCCACTATGCAGCTATGTCGCTATGTCGCTGGTATAGGCCTATTATTATTATGCCGTCTTTAGGAGTTATTACTCTTTTTATTCCTCTTTTCTTTTGGATAGCTTTTTTTGAATGATTTTAGGAACGCTACACAAGGTCAGAGGGAGAGTTAATCTTACTTTATGGGGTTTTTTTTTTAGCTTTGAAAATGCAATGCCATCTTTGTTCAACAAAATAGAATAGAATCTCCTTCAAATTTTGGGTCTTTTTGTTCGTCAGTATTTTTCTGTTGATTTTGTTTGGGTTATTTTTTGTTTTAAACTTCAAACCTTTAAAAACAATGTGAAATAGCGTCAGTAAAAAGAAAGCTGATGACGTGAAAGGCGATTGTGAACAACAAAGAGTAATTGTGCCTATAATTATACATCTAATTAACATATTCACAGCTTCATCTGCCATTAAAAAATCAGACATCGCTTGAGCCAAGACAGTGAAAGCGTTAAGTAACTGTTAAAAACGATATGTGTCTACCGACCAAAGGAAGCACATAAAAGGTGAACGAGGTGTTACTCATAGAAAAAACAGTGAGAAGTAATTAGGTAATCTGGTGTGGTTTGCTCCTTCGTTCTTATCAGACATCTATCATCCTTATCTCTCCTGATTTTGTTTGTCTGTTACACTCTAGCCAGGAACGCCTCTCATCTTCGGCACTTATATAACCTGATTGCACTGTAAGGGCCGTAAAACTCTTACTAGAGCAGACAAAAAAAAGTTTCCCTCAAACACATCGCTTGGATTCCTTTCACCAAACATTTTAATCTTTAGAGATTAGTTGGAAATCTGCGATGTACCCCCCCCCCCCCACCCCCCCACCCCCATGCCCGAATTATTCTAAAGAAGGGGTGGGAATTGGGAATTGCGTGGGGGGGGGGGGTGCAAACTATCCATTAGACACCAAAAACAAACCTCCTTAAGACAAAGAAGTTTAAAATGCGCCAAGAAATCATAGTGCGATATTTACTTTTATTTAGTTTTGTTTTTTAATGCTTTTTCTTTGCTTTCTAATAGATGGGCTATGCGTTGTGTTTTGGAAATGATCTAAGTAACATGTCTAACTAGGGTGTTTAATTTATAAAAAAACACATCGAGTGCATGTGAAAACCACACCAAGTATATCACTATACGAGAAGTTTTAAAATGAAATAGATCATCCCATATGCCTGCCTTTCTGCCTGCCTGACTGTCTGTCTGTCTGTCTGTCTGTCTGTCTGTCTGTCTGTCTGTCTGTCTGTCTGTCTGTCTGTCTGTCTGTCTGTCTGTCTGTCTGTCTGTCTGTCTGTCTGTCTGTCTGTCTGTCTGTCTGTCTGTCTTTCATACTCAAACAAACCTGTAAGCACACACATAGAAGCATACGCACTACACACAAGTACACACACACACACACACACACACACACACACACACACACACACACACACACACACACACAAACTCTATACAAGCATCTTAAACTCACTTTAAATACTATACAACTATAATGAAATTAATCGGTAAAGACGTGCAAAATATTCCGATATATAGAAATGGTACTGAGTCAGATTCCTTGAGATCGTTTTGCAAGTGTATACAGTATTGCTTTGCTCACAACGAAAGCGTGCTCTTCGAAGAAAACAAAAGTGAAAGAATATCAGAACAAATTATGCACCAAAGACGACAACAACAATGAAAATCAAAACTTAAAATACATGTTCATCCTTATCTATACATAATAGTAGTCCGTCCACCTGATTGATCGTAACATATAATATGTTGTTACGGGAAATGTGAAATGGTAAAGGTTAAACACCCCGATCACCAATATTACATTAATTCTGGACTCCCGAGCCTTATGTCCATCTGCGAAAGGACCAAGCCATATAGCAAATTCTTGGTAAGTGCCTTTCCAAAACAAACAACCTCTGACTGAGTCGAGGCTCGATCCCCTCCCTCCCCCCCCCCCCCCCAACCCAGAATCTCACGATAACGGGTCCGGTAACCTGACCACAAAGCCCTGACGCCAATTGCTGTGAAGTAATTTAAAAAATCGACTTTTTTTCAAGTAAAAGGCTGGTTTGAAAATAATTAAAACTCTAGCATTGTTGCAAACTAACATTAACAATAATAGTTTAGAATAGTTTTACATAATGATAAACACATAAACTAAACTAGATTTCTGTATAGCCCACTTTTCCCAGATTTCTCTGGAACCCGCTGTCTGCCCAGATCAAAACGTGAGATTTTCAGACGATAAAGAGAGCAATCGGCGCGCCAACGCTCTGAGGTTTATGTAGGGATGGGCTGATGGAACGGAGACATTTCCCCCTCCCGGAGTGTGACCTGGGACGCGCGGTTAACTTCCCGCCATGAATTTCTCGAGCTTTCCGAAGCACGGACAAAAATCATTATGAGCCGCTAACATTCACACTCAGCCCCCAAGCGTCATTTCGTTTTAAATGGCAAAGGACAAGTCTTCCCATTCCATGACCGAGTTGGCAATTAAATTTCGTTTTTCGGCCAATAAAGCACTCCAAAAGATTAATGGTCAGTGCAGACGCTGATTGAAGAATTCCCATCGCGTGTCCGGCTTGGGGTTGGGTCATGTTAGCTTTATTTCCGCGTAAGGAAAAACAAAAGAAAGACATTTCCTGCATCTTTTACTCCATGATGTAGGGCAGGGAACCTGATACATTATTAAGGAAACAGGGAGCAGACATGCTAAAAGACGATGGAATATGATAAACTTCGGATGTTTTCTCAGACAACTGTGTTTTAATGTGTAACCGGAGACATGGTTCGATTTCCACCAACATGTCAACAAGACCACAATTGAATCCCTTAAAAGGTAACGTTTCTCACATTACGTCTTTGGGAAAGAAGGGGAATGATGGGATTTGAGTGGTGGGAGTGGGAGGTGGTGTAAACCCACGCATGATGAGAAAGTAAATTGATATTATGAGTGGTAATGAACGTGGGCAGCTTCCGCATGTGAAAGCTGACACCAAGTATTGAACCGTTCTTTAAAGAAGAAAAACATGCACTACGCAATGTCTTTCTGTGGTTAATGAGTTTTCAGACTACGTCTGTACCCATGTGTAACTATAGAGCGGTAAAAAAAAAAAAAAAGATTCGTGGCGCAACTTCTTGTCAAATATTTTCAAAAACCATTGAACATAAACTCTCCAACTTTTGCAGAGCGACATGTATCAATCTGTCTTAACAGCAAACACCCTGTCAACTGCATTCTAGAATATTCCTCAATAAACACTGATTAAAAATCCCAGTGGGTGGTTTCTGTAGATTTTCAAAGGTGTACAGGTGAAACAGTTATAAAAATACAGCTTTTAAAAGTAAGTCAGTCATTTATAAAATTTCTAATTGGGACATTATACTTATTGAATGCAAATTTTTAGAACCTTTACTGCCCCCAAAAAGTGTTAACTATATTATAATAATCATGATTTCTAGCAACAAGTTTTGTCACTAAAATGAGTGATTGGTGAGCTGTGATGTAGGCCATAATTAAGTATTAAAATATGTGTGTGAGAAGCGGGAAGTATTGTGAACAGTCCCATTTTCCACGTGACAGCGTGACAGAGATTTATAGTATTTTATATAAATTAATAAAGAAAAGTTTACAAATCTAACCTCAATTTTTGTGGAATAATATGATTAAATTAAGTTAGATCTAATACAAATTGATACAAACAGCTTTGCAAAGTATGGGAAGCACCAATTCACTCGCTAATGAGATAATTGAGGATAGGTTTCGCCACGAATTTTTGACCTTACTGTAGATTAACTGCCATAGAGTCGTATAAGGAAATAATTTGATTTATGTGTTACTTTCTCGTTTAGTTTTTTGTTTGTTTGATTGTTTTGGGTTTTGAAAATTGATCTAAACGGAGAATGTTGTTAGAATGATATATTTACCCCATACTAACAAACATCTTGATTCTTTTTCTCAGCATAGAGATAGGTCAAGGCTGAAAGTTGGAGGGTGTGTAGGTAATAAGTCCTATTTATATTATGTTCTTCTGTTTGGTTGTGCTAGTCTGTCCTTTATATCCGAAGGACTAAATTACTGTTATTGCGTTAGTGGGTATCTCATAACTCAAACGAAACAAAACAAAAGAAAATAAAGAAGACCAAAAAAAATTAAAACCCAGGCTACCAAAGAGCGGTCCCAACGGCGTTGTTTAACACATGCTTACAATTCTTGATTCAGTCTCGTAGTTAGCAAACATATCACATCCCTCCATGCCGTCATCAAACAACAATTTGCAGCCAGATCGTGTTATATCATACCAATAAAATAAATATCTGATTATATCCACCAGCTGTTACCTTTTCTTTTTGCTCTCCGTTGGAGTATCCGGATGCCTGTAATGGCGGCAGTTTGCTCTGGAAGGTGGCCAGGCGTGTGGCTGTGCGGTCTCTGCTGACGTCAGGAGCTCCGTCTTCGTCACTGATGACGCTGCTGGTCCGGTTAGAGGCACCGCCCCGGTCGGTACGGGGGAGGCTTCGATTTGCACGATCCTGGGGGGACAGAAAGACAGGAAAAAACGTCTCTTGTATTGGTTTTATGATGCAATCATTGCAGATGTTTTCCGTCCCCAAGCTACGATAAACTACCAAAGATGTTATATTTAGTTTTAGAGTTCGTGGCAGTAATAATGTTTATCACGTAAACGAACCCGGGGTGGGGGGAGGGAGGGGGGCTGCGTGTGCCCACTCTGAGGTGCTGAACCTCAAGTCCAAGACATGCGCAGTTCGACAGACGGGTGAGTACTTTTCGAGACTCACGAGGATACTGTCCTATGAGAAAAACTTCAAGCTTGCACTGAAGTATTGGGACAGATACACTAGAGCTCGTGGGGAGTAGGGTGCAGGCTCAGATTGTTCATGTAAATGGGGGCACGCCGGCCATGCCGATGAGAGTAAGAAGGCTTCCACTCCCATGTCTGACACTGCTGCAAACTCTAGTATTTTATATTATAACTTCTTTGCAAACTACCTAGTGAGGGTACAAAATGACAGGGAAAAAACGTCTCTTGTATTGCTGTTATGATTAAATTATTGTAAGGCTTTATGTCGTTATAACCACGGCAAACTACTAACATCGAAATCTCCTGCGGAAGTGTACATCATTTATTTATTATTGTCTTGTGTTCTCTGGTAGTCTGAGGTCGTCATAGGTTTGTTTTACTTCTCTTTTTTCCCACTGTTATTTATATCCTTTTGCAGATTTTTCTTTCTTTATTCATGCACTAAAAGGCTTTATCGTGTCGATGTAAATTTTTGGAAGGTACGCCCCCGTCGAAACAATTTAGGTCATTTAGAAGGTAAGTGTGAGAGAGATACACCATCCCGAGCAAAAATACTGAGATACTGGATTTAGATTCTTACCACTTGGGAATCGAACTCAGGTCTCCTGCGGGTCACAGCAAAGTGACTACCTACTACACGACAGACACCGGTTGTGTCATAAGTTATTATCAACCCAAACACAGATTGACACACCAGGACCACAAGTATAAACCCTTTTGGACAGAAAGGCAGAGATATCCTCCGAGAAAGACGGATAAAATAACTTGCCGACAACAATATGCGTGTAACGGCGAGAGCCTAAAATGTTCTCTACTCTCTATCACAAAAAATTAAAACAAAAGCAAACAGTTACCCCCGACCCTTGTTTCATAAAAAAAATAATAAAACAACCCACACTATTTTATTCACAGGAATATTTCTGAATAACATTTGTGGCGCCTAATGGCAACAGCACAGGTGCCAGTAGATTGAAGTGAGAATCATTCAAGAGAATCAGCTCAGTACGACATGCCGTGGATGGAGCCATAACGTTGAAGTCGGCGAGAGAGCGTAGGCACGTTGGACGGATGGGAAGATATCTTGGTACGGTGATCATAATTTGACAGGATGAACCCTTGTCACGATGCCAGTCACTGGGAGAAGCGCGGTTGGTGATGAGTTGCTTGTATGGGGTGTGTGTGTGTGAAGATTGAGGGAGATGTAGGGATTGAGAGAGAAAGAGAGAGAGAGAGAGAGAGAGAGAGAGAGAAAACGAAACATATATATATATATATATATATATATATATATATATATATATATATATATATATATAGGGAGAGAGAGTGGAGACAGAGAGATACACAGGGAGAGAGAGAGACAGAGAGAAAGAGAGAGAGAGAGAGAGAGAGAGAGAGAGAGAGAGAGAGAGAGAGAGAGAGAGAGAGAGGTGGTGATAGACAGACAGACAGACAGAGACAGAGAGATACACATGGAGAGATAGAGAGAGAGAAAGAGACAGAAAGAGAGAACAAAAAAGAGATAGAGAGAGAGATAGGGTGGCTGAAGGGTTGAGAGAGCCGTTGGGGACAGCAATTACTGGCTGTGATAGTCTGTTCAGCTCTCTTTCTGTCCCCCGCTAGCCCCGTACGTCGCCGGGGGTGCAAGACGTCCATCAAGACTGATGTAGCGATTCAGTTTGCTCCGTCACTTCGCCGTCTCTTTATTTCAACTTCCAGACCACACCCTTCCCACACAGCTAAAGAGAATATGAGCAAGAACTTATTTAATGAAAAAAGAAAACACTCCCCCCCCCCCACACAAAAAAAATAGAAAGAAAGTCTGTTCAGAAAAAAAATCAGCAAAAATATACAGAGGATAAACTGGAATGTACAAAGAAAACACTAAAGGATATTCTAAAAAAAATTAGTGATATTATTATCTAAATATACAAAGGAATGATAATTAAGAACATAATAATTAACTATATTATACATTTACACGTGGGAGCTCCGTGGTCTAGAGGTTAAGGTGTTCGCCTCCCATTCAATAGGTCCCGACTTCGAATCCGGATAGCGACCGAACATTTTCTTATTAAAATTTTCTCCTTTAAAATTCTTTACTGCTCCATTACATTGTTCTGTTGTTTGCTTTCGCCTCCACTTTCTGCCCTCACCCCCCCCACCTCCATTGCCCCCTCCTCTGGGCCTGACTCATTCTGCAGCCTTCCTACTGTTTCTCCTAGGCCCCATCTTACTGCTGTCTTTCAGCCACACCCCTGATCTTATGGAAAGTAAGATCTACACCTTGCCTTCTCAGACAAGGAAGACAAATCTCTGAGGTCCCGTGTGCAAGTTGCGCACTTTAAAGATCCATTGAGCGTTCAAAATCAATAAGAGTAGGCTTCGGCTGGCCCCTGAGGAAAATTCAAAATTTCTTACCAACTGAAAATGCTTGGTGTGTTGCATGCGCACATAAGGCCTTGCATTATGAAGTTTCGAGCGCCGTAAAACACTTACCCCCCTCCCCCCTAAAAATAATTATATGTACGACATGTAAGTATATATAGCATATATATATATATCTATATATATATCTCTATATATATATATATATATATATATTTATATATATATATATATATATATATGTGTGTGTGTGTGTGTGTGTGTGTGTGTGTGTGTGTGTGTGTGTGTGTGTGTGTGTGTGTGTGTGTGTGTATTATATGATATATATATATTTAAAATAATAAAATAATAATAGTAGTAGTAATAATAATAATAATAATAATGATAATAATGATAAAAAGAAAACCGTGTCATCTGCTTGCAACACTGACGCGCCGCAACAAACTATTTTGCAACAGCCATCATAGTGTATCGGTCTATGCGAGCAATGCTTCCAAATTTAGACTGCTGCCCTAACAAACTGATAGACATGTCACGTTCTTTTGGTCAACATTGTCTGATATAGTGACATTGGTCACATCCAAAAGAATACTGCAAGTTCTGGGGTCTGACTTCTTTCTTTTTACCCTTCTCTTTTGTGTGTGTGTGTTTTTTTAAAACTTAACTTTCCAGTGAGGTGGGGGTGGGGGTGGGGGGAATTCTTCCTTTTTCGCTTTTAAAAAGTTCCTCATTTTCCTTCTTCTTCTTGCTTTAAAAAAACAAACAGTTTCTTTCAGTTCTTCACCTCATATTGTTTTTTCCTTTATTTCTTTATTTCTTCCGTTCTTTTTGGTGTTTATTGTCTTTCATTTCGTCTGCTCTTTCTTTTCTTATTCCTTTTCCCCTCTTTCTCCTTACTTTTCATTTTTCATTCTTTCATTCTGTTTTTCCTCTCTTCTTGTGTCTGTCCTCGTGTCTTTTCTTGCTTCTTTCTGTCTCCCTCCTCCCCTCCCCTCTTCTTTCTTTCTATTCTATCACCACAGGCCTGACCGCCTCACACAGCGTGAATGTGACAGTAATGAAGTCACTGACCACGCCAGTCTCTGGCCTTGTTAAGGATTCTAGACACTGACAGCACCAGGCCTCTCGGCTTGACCACATGAGTGGACAGTCAAAAGGCCTTCACTTCCGTGGGTCAGGGAGGATGCTTTTGTTCTCTCGTCCTTTCTTTTCTTTCTTTTTCTATTTTTTTTTAGGGGAAAGAGTGCATTTATTTTTTTCTTCTTTTTTTTTTTTTTTCATTTTCTTTAAGGTGGGGGCAATGGGAGTTTCCCATTTCTTTGTATTTTCTTTTGTGACTCATGGTCAGATTTGTATTGCTATACAAGAGCCTGCATTTATTTTAATTTTCTTTTGACGTTTCTTTTGAGTGTGTGTGAGCGGGATGGTTTAGGGTAGAAAATAATGTGGAGGGAGATGAGGAGGTGGTTGTGATGTAGCATGGGATGTTCAGTTTGTTTGTCTCTTTTTTGTGTGTGTCTCAAGGTCAGTTTTGTACTGTTATAGAAATCACGCTGGTAAAGAATGCGTCACGGTTTTAATGAAGAAGAAAGCTGACATTCAGCCATTGATGGGACAGGACAGGGCCACATATGCATATGTCTTTTGTCCTCGCGGAGTGCCATTGAAATGCTGCTGATTTTAGCGATGTTAGAATCTAAAAACAGCATTGGAGACCTTTTGCTGTTAAATTAATGCTATGTTTGTGTTGTCGTTGTTATTTATGTTGTTGTTGGAATGTTGTTGGGTTTTTTTTTGGGCTGTATTCACTGTTTATCGTATCTGATTTAGCAAAATATGCTCTTAGAATATTGTTCAAAGATCATAACGATGAAACAGAAGAGCAATAAACAACGTTACATGTGTATACTACAATTTTTACTACTAATACTACCTCTATGGTTTCGTCCTTAGATGCATTTTACTCTCTCTAAATATTGCTCTTTGACATCTACGTGTATTCTCCCTTCGTTATTGCGTAAATCTATCCTTGCTAAGCTTTCTAAAGCAATGCTGTATGTTTGTTATGAGTGTTTGTAAGTCTAAATTAATTAATTTACCCGTACATAATAAATTCATGTGCCTAATATCATCATTGCATCTCTCAATTCATTATCAACGACCTGAAGCATTATAAACTAATTATAATTATCCAAGAATGTCGCTCTCCGCATTTATCTGGCATGAATTCTGACATACTACATAAGGTTCGGAGTGTGTTTATACGTGTTTGTTTGTGTGTGTGTGTGTATTTATTTTTGTGTGTATATGTTTGTGTGTGTA